TAAAATCCTAAACCCTAGACCCTGAACCCTAGACCCCCACACATGTGGTCCTGGATCTTTTCGAAAGTGGTGCCGTCGGTGCCGTTGCTTCCTTTGTCCTGCGCAAGGCATGGTTCCAGGGTATTCAGGGTTTAGGGTTCTGGGGTTAGGGTTTAGGGGTTTAGGTTTAGGGTTTAGGGTTTGGGGTTCAGGGCTTAGGGGTTTTGGGGCCTACGGGTTTAGGATTGCCACACGCATTGCTTAACCCAAACCTACAAAGCATTTGTCTCGGCCCCAAGCGGCGATGTTGCCACACAGCCCTGCCTGAAAGGGCTTCGGGTTTAAGGTTCAGCGCTTGCGCCCAAGATCCAGCTAGTCTTAAACCCTAAACCGCAATCCCTGGACCGTGGCTTAGGAGTCCCAACAACTCTGACATACTCTGACCTGCCTTGCACCACGGACACGCAAGTCCCTCGGTTTGAGATCCTAAACCCTGAAAACGGCGAAGAGATATCGAATCCATCCCTGGACGGATGCCCTGCATGCCCAAAGACCGAGAAGGGCCCGAAAAGAAAGCGTGCCCAAGGCTGTCTAGCAGTCTGAGGGCATTTATTTACCTGGACCCTAAAAAACCTACCTTTTTAGGGTCCCTTATTATGACTTCTTGATATACATCCTTAAAAAGGTAGGTTATTTGGGGTTAAGGTAGGGCTTACGTATGTAATAACATCGACGGAGGTGCACCCGTGCTCTGTTGAGTTAATCTTAAGGTCGCTTCGATGGTCGTGGTTGTGACAGATTTTCTCATGGGTGTCATCGTTCTTGTTCTGACTGCTGCTAATTTTGCCGCCACTGCCGCTGCTTGTGGATTCTGCCTGAAGTTAGCTTAATCTGGTCGAGTTCGCAGAGTTGCTGTTGTCAAGTGGTCCTTTACTGCTGCTGTTCTGTTCGCTGATGATGACACTGATGCTGTTGAAAAGTATGGCTCCGTTTTGCAGATGCTGTCCGTACAATAATATTGCTGATGGTGCCCTAGACCCCCCCAAAAAAACTGAATGCTGCTGGTGATGTCATTGTCGATGAAGGATGGCATCGTCAATGTCAGCACACCTCTGAACCCTCTACGACCTAAAAACACTTAACTAAACCCTCAACCCCTGCGTCCCAACCAAAGCCCGTCACAAAAAACACCCGAAGCCCCAGATTTTTTTGGTAGAAACCCTCATAGTTTTGGGAAACCTATAAGCCTGAAAAAACCCTGGACAGAAGCCTTCTAGCAACCCGCATGTTCAATGATAGGAACATAATAGGAACCCTGACAGCGTAACCCTAAACCCCTAAACCCTAACCCCCTAAACACTAAACTTAAAGCCACAAAAACCGTTACCCCCAAGCCGAAGGAGGTGCCTCGCCACTGGTTAGCGAGGCCAAGAGATCCTCCCGGAGCTCCATCGCTTGCCTCGCCTGGGTCCTGGGCACATAGGGGTTTAGTTGGGTTTAGGCGGTTTAGGGTTTAGGCTTTAGGGATTTTAGGGCTTAGGGTTTAGGGTAAAGGATTTANNTTTAGGGTTTGGGGCTTGGGGTTTTTTCCCTTTAAGTGCAATGGGCCCCCCTTTCCTGGGTTTAGGCCCTTGAGGCTTGAAGGTTGAGGGATGAGGGTTTGGGGTGAGAAGCAAGGCATCTTGCGCTGACCACATGGGTGCGTTGTGCACTGGTCCCGCAATATGGGGGGTTTCCGAAAAGAGG